CAAATTATCGATTTAAATAAAGTTTAAAGCGCGTAAATCGATTAATAATAAAATACATGAAGCAACGAAGTGATATGAAAAAAAAAACATATATATATATTATATATATCGACCAAGGAGATATTTTTCTTGAGAAAAAAGTAATAGGATAAGTAATAAGATTATCGAAATTCTCGAGAAACATTAGGTAAAATACGTTAACAGATCTTTTCAATGCGATTTATGATATGGAAAAGTGCTTACAGTCTATTCTCATATCACGCCTTGGAGAGATTAATTGTGCAATATTTATGAAATTCCTAAGGAAATGAGTCATACATTAAAAATCATTTAAGGAATTTTATATAGTAAATGCTATAAAATTAATAGAGAAATTGCAATTGGAATTTTAAAAAGTGAATGGAAACCAAGAAAGTAATATTCTAACTGAGAAAAAAAAATACTGGGAAAAAAAAATGAAGTAAAATAGAAAAACTACTTGAAACTACGATTGTTCTATTTTATATTTTTAATATAATATTAATTACTATAAAGTGTTTAATCTACTTTAGTTAAAGATCTTTATTTGATAATTGAAATAAATGAAAATATATTTCATTCATTTCTATCGATTTCTATGGACTATAATTTAATTAAATTAATAAGTTATTAGAGTATTAAATTACTTTACGATGCTTCTGACTTTTAGATTTATTAAGTAATAAGTCGATGAATCTGCTGGAAGATGTTCTGGATTTATTTTGGAAAGAATAAGAACAAAAAAAAAAACTGGTTTTTAACTTTTATTTTCAATTGCTCATAGAAAATTACATCTCATGCCTTTTTTTTAAATTATTTTTTTTGTAATAATTTAATATGTTTATATGTAATAACTGTTTTAATTCGTTATAAACAGTAAAAAAAAAGTATATTTTTATCACTGTTTATTCAGTGAGGAAGAAGAAAACTTTCTCATAGTAACAGTAATTTTACAGACTAAAATAATAACTAAAATATTTTTTTAACAGATTAAAAAATTCTCTAAAAGAAAAATAATAAGTTCAAATAATAAAGATAAAATTATAAGATAAATTGAGTTAAAAGATTTAGCGATGAATCATGAAGATAAATGGTAATAAACTATGAACAAAAACACTGCTCTACTTTCAACATATTGAATTTTATGTTAAACATGACACGAAACTTTCTATTACCTAATCATTTTTATTACCTGGATTAGTTTAAGAACAATTTAATCATGGATTATAAATTAAAGTTTTACTTCATTTTAAATCCATAAAGAACGAAAACGTATTTGTGAATGGTTTCGTGTATTTCTATCCATTCGGAATCGACTCACCCTTTTCGTTTTTAATGAAATGATTAATTAATATTCCGTTATTTTAATCTGTAAAATAAATATTTGAATAACGTAGTTTTAAAAAAAATTAGTTAAAAATTTTATTGTTTATCGAGTATTTTAAATTTCGAATAATTAAATTTAAACATCGATAATCAATATTAAATATAAAACACTTGCAAATATCAAATATTTAGTAATTTTTTTTTTAGTGCCAATCACAGATATGTTTGCTTCGTTTTAAATTTGCTTTCGATATCAGCGATTTTAAAAAAATCATAAACTACTTATAATTACACATGGTTACACGTAAATAGACACGTTCCTTTTAGAATTTCATCGTAATATATTGACAATTATAAATTCAACAAAATATTTTCCATACTTTGAAATTGTTTAAAATTCCAATAGGAAACGAAATAAAATAGCATCAATTAGGTTAATTGTATCAGGATTTTGTACTGTCGAGACATTGGACCTGTTCTGGATTTTAACGAATCTACTGTAATAGGTGTAAAACTGCTAGGTTTTCTTCGCAATTTTATGTAAATTGATAGGATAAGACAATATAACACGAAGGCAACCTGCAAAGGAAAAGTTCCTTCCGGAAGGACTTAATATAAAAAAATTACCAGTGACCAACTATCAGTATATTTATTACATAGTTGGTTTTATCCATTCGGCCATTGATGGGTGATTTTTCCCACGTATCTCTGATATAAAAACCAAACCATTGTTTTACCTTAAAAAAATCTTTACCAAAATCTTTTTTATAAGATGTATTAATTTAATAGTTTATTTATTTTGTACATTTTACAGCTATATTTTCATTTTTCATACTTTAAACTCTTTCTGCCCTATGGGCACTAAGATGACCTTTTTTTTTTTTCAATAAGTCCATTGTGGGTTTGGCCCGGTCAGTGATGGATGGGACCCTACTCATTCGGAAGGATTACCGCCGAAGTTTTCGGGGTCTTTCGACAAAGTCCTGATTCGGTAGGCTGCCACTTTAACCGCTCGGCCATCAGGCCGTCTCATTTTTCATACTGGCTTACCTGTAATGTAATAATTGGAGCGAACGGATAGCCTATACTGTGTGATGTCTCTCGTTAACTAATTACTCGATCAATCATTGTAAATTTTGGTTTCGATATTGTTCGAAAGTTTAGTTAATTTATTCAGATATCAAACCCCTTTAAGTTGAAAAATCTAGCCTAAAGTCGTATTTATTTTTAAATAAAATGAATTTCATTATCAAGAATTAATAAAAAAAAAAGTACAGTATCTCGACTTAGATTAATACGCAAACATTTATCATAAGCACATATTTGAATTTTATATATAAGTTGACGTTTAATTTGTTTTTATGATAAATTTCCTCAAACAAAATTTATTCTTATAATCTGTCTGTTCATTATCTAATTAATTATATAATATTTTAATTTGTTAAATTAACGATACGTCAGCGAAGGCAACTTATTTAAAGAATTGTTGACTGTAGATAAACATATTGATAGATTTTGTTTTTACTCGTATATAAAATAAATTATTTTCATTTAAAACATTCATAAAAGGAGTTGCTTGTTAATGAATGTCTTATAGGCCTATAATACATTTTATTAGTAATTTAAAAATTTTATATACATCTATAATGGTTGAGTATAGCGTTAGTATCCAGTTATTTATTCGTAGTTTATTCGAAATTTAATTTGGATTAAAATTCAAAATGGCAACCTTAAGAGGAAGGTTCCACTTGGCATTAACTGTTATAAAAATATACTAAGAGTTACTGTTTACATCAGTAGAGAAAGAGTAATGTTGAATCTTTTATAAGAGTATTGTTTTAGTATGGTGCCAACAAAGAGGAAGCGTGCAGCTTCTCTGTTACGAATGCTCTATTTAACAATACGAAAGTGAAAAACTTTGAAAACATAAATATAGACGTTTATCTAGTAACTTTCTATCAAAATGTAATGATAAAATTACTTATCTTAACAGGGCTCACCAGTGGCCAAGCGATTCCGTTGTCTGATTACTGGGAGTGCGGTCATCGGTTAATGATTCAGTACACAAATGGAGAATATTAGATTGTAGCAGAGGGAAGTAAATAGGTGTTCATCTGGCGTGCAGAAAAACTGTGCCATTCTGTGCTTAAGAAAGAGAGAGGAAATCTTGAAAAGTACATCATTGTAAACGATGGGGAAGAAGGGAGTCGAGGCATTGTCTGCGTGGACGTTTTTTTTGTGGTATTAGTGGCATACGAATTTGTTTGAATATATTTGTATACTGTATTTGAATGTATAACGAATTATAAACCTATTTGCTAGTCATGTAAATGAACTATCGGAAAATATTTGAAGAAATGACTTTATAAAGTTCTGAATGTCGAAACGGTCTGGGTATTGGGAGGATAAAATGAGAAAATTTAGATCACTTATGAGAGAAATGTTAGCCAAGGAAAAAATATATTTATTAAATGTAAGCGAAAAAGCTATATGTAATAAACAAACTTAGATCTACATGGCTATATATAAACACTTAAGAATATCATTCAAGAAATATCAGTCAAGAACATTGAAAATTAACCTTTTTATCAAATATACAGTACTGTTCATAACATTTTCCCTAACCTGTGCAATTCCGATCAGCTATTTGTAACACATGAAAGTTAATAATTTTGATTAATAAAAAAGTTACTTCGTTTTACTCTTAATGTTCATCACTACAGAAGTCGCAGATATTATCCTCAGTTGACTCGAAGCCCACGCATTCCGCATTAGCCTAATTTGAACACACTACATCTGTATCATTGTCACGACCCTCGCCTCATTGGATCTAAATGTCATATGTATTGTGCATGGCAGGTTCGATATAATTATACAAAGTTCTTCGAGCGCAACGCCCTCCTCTGCAATTCCGATCAGTGGTGATCTGACTTACCCTAAAATACTATGTTAGAAATTAGTTAACACTGTTTTTATTGTGGTTATGGTGTTAACCTCCGACATAGCTGTAACTTTGATTATTTTATTACACGAATTTCTCATTTTCATTTAGACTACTTGGTACTAAGCTTTATCTGTAAGCAAATTACCTTGCCTGAAGGATCGGCCAGAGAAATAGCGGGGCTCGACGCAAGGTTGTCGTACTGGGCGTTTTAATAAAAAAACATAGCAGTTTCGAACAATGAAATAATATTTTAATGGTAAACATACCATACATTAAATAGATTAGCAAAAGTTAGTTAACTTAGCGAATAATGAAATGATCAATTGTTGAATCATGCAGGATCGCGCGGCCTTGTGCGGTCGCGCCGTTCACTTGTCTGCCCTGCCTGAAGTAATGCCGTAGTTTTTTTTTTAACCTTTATTCCCCTGTGGGCACCTTTTTAGAAAACAAATTATGGCTTCGGCCAGGCGCATAACAGGAATGAAGAACGGGGTCCGACATATACGGATTCGATCCCGGGTCCTTCAAAGGATAGACTACCACCTTAATCACTCGGCAATCGCTCCAGAGTAATGTTATACAAATATAATTTGCAATATTTTTTCATTTATAAATTCATATATAATTAATAATATAAAAGAAAATATATTATGATACGCTTCAAAAGTTTATAAAAATATGTTTAATCCATAGACATTTACAGAGACTCACGTGACGGTGACGTCAGATTCACGTGGGAAGTTGGACAGGAATGGACGTCGTAATTGTGTAGAATTTGATTAAGTGAAATAACAAACATGTCTGATTCAGAAATAAGCGAGAAAACGCCTTTGATTACTTCTTCTCGGAAAAATTATTATATCGAAGAATTAGAGGTATGAATAACATTTCATTAATTCATCAACAATCATTCTAATTTGCAAAGTGAAAGTATTCAATAGAATTATTTTGTTATCTATGAGAAGTTTTCAATACATTTTCCAATGATAAAAAGACATTCATATATATATATATATATAATTAAATATTTGTTTTCCATGATTACAATGTGTCTTTTTCTTTGATTTTCAGTAAATATCTAGTTTCTTCTCTTTATTTTCATCTCAAATAACATGAAATATGTCAGTAGATAACTCTGTAAAGATGTAACATTCCAAATATAAATCTAAAACAGCATATATCCATAATTACAACATAAATAAACAAGTAGCATACAGCAGAAGTAAACAAAATTTACATAGAACAGTATATATCCGTATACTATTTTGGTACAAATCTCTGTTTATAACTGAGAAACAGAATGGGTGAAGTTTATGTCAAATTTTTGATTTTAAAAAGAGCTCCGAACCTGTATACAATTTTAAGGAATGACAAAGATAGCATAAAAAAAGAAGAAATAACAGGGGTGTACAAGATAACAAAAACGTACAATTAGGAATCAAGAAAAAGTATATTGTCATTACAACAAGAAGTTAGGAAGTCGGGCTTAAAGAACACGAGTATAAAATGTCGACAAAGGATCCAGTGCTACAGTACTTTCCCAGGTGGCGCAGACTCGAGGCTCTACGGTAAAATGGGATGAAGAAGATATTGTTAAACCCTTGCGCTCCTTGATGTTAGCCGTGAGCGCTGAAAAAATTGAAATTTGTAGAAGCAAACTAGAAGATGCATGCATCAATGCAAGGGACAGTGAAGGTTTACCATCTGCGTGGAAATACGTTAAAAAGTTTTCTATGAACTCCTACATTATGTCTTAGTTTACAATTTTGTTTTTTATAATTATGCCTTAATAGTTTCCTTTTACTATTTATTTAAGGTATTATTACTGGATTTTTACTATTATATCTGATTTTGTTTTCTTTTATATTTAAACATATATAATTTTCTGTTATTTTTTGTATTTAAATTTATGTATTCTATTTTGGAACACCAATGTTTTAATCTTCTTCTTTAACTTGAGGATGGCCTATTGAATGGGCTGAAAATATTAGTTTAGTTTTAATAAATTGAGATTATTTATTAAAACTAAACTAAATAAGGTGTATTTTGATGGTCTATTAGTATAGTATGTCTCTGTGAAAAAATCAAATCCCTACGGTAGACTGTCTCCACATTAGAATTTTTTAAATCTTTTGTTTAATTTTTTTCATTTTTTTTACAAAATTTTATTTATGCAAAAAAATCAATAAAACTATATCAAATCAAAGGAAACTGATGAGCTATCTCAGCTAAAATATCATTGAACAGCGAGTCGGCATACATATTTTTATCAACATATCAGCCTTCATTTTTATTCCAAAAAATGAACTAGTTTTGGTTAATTGATAATGATGGTTAAATATTCAATGAATTTGAGGTTAATTATAATATCTAAGATGAAGTATAATTTATACATATTAATTAAAATTGATTAGTATAAATAAATACTCATACTGTTTACCATCCTTTAAAAAACCAAGCAGAAACTTAAATAAGAATATATTATACTTAGATTAGTAGAATTATATTTAACCATTATCAAATTTTTATTTATTAATGAAAATTGAAATGTGTATTCATCGTAATATTTGTATAAACAAACATTCTGACAAATGTGAAGGAATAATTAAGTCTAGATAAAATGTCAATATTTTAATTGAATTTAATATTCAGAACTACTTTCTCAAGCAGATTTTTTTCAGTTTTCAAGTTTTGATTTATCTTAATTGAAATAATTCAGAATATATTAGATTATTTTCATATATACTTTTTGAAAGTATTGATAAGTTCTTGAAATTTAACTGAGGTTAACTTGAGATTAAAATTTTAAGGATTTTGGCCAAAATTTCTTTTAATAACAACATGTATTAACAACAAACTTATAATGTACAGGATATATTAAAATATATTTATATAAATCTAATAAATTATACAATATAAAATACTTTGAATTTTATATTGAATAATTTATACTCATTGATCTATCTTTTAGCACATATTATCTGTAAATAAAAAAAGATTATATATTTTTCCATTAAGGCAGAAATATTTTATCCATTAAATTGAAAGTTTACTGTATTTATTTTATTTTTATTAATTTTATATTATTAAAGTATAAGGTAAATTAAATATAAAAAATATAACATATTTCAATAAATAAAATTTTTTAAGGAAAGTAAAAATGTTAAACGTAGACAAGTAGAAATTGAACAAATTTATGAATTTTAGAAACTCACTTTATTGTTAAATCTAAATTAAATTATCATCATTAAATCACATTATCATTAATTATAATATTTAGAGTTTTACTCAAAAATTTAAATTAGGTTAAGTACATATTTATAAAATAATTGAAAACAAACTAAAATTACAATCTTAAACTGTATTAGTTTATTCAAATCAACAAAACTAATAAAAGATAATTACTGCTTACTAATATAAATGTTAATACATATTAAATGACTAAAGTAGAATGACTAAATAGATATGTATCTATGACAGAAAACTCAAGGAAGGGGCAAAAATTCACTTTAAAATAAAATATAAATATATATAAGAAATATCTACACTAAAAGGGGAGGTGGTAGTCTGAAAAGTTTGGGAAACACTACATTAAATTAACATAGAAGTCAGTAGTAGAGAGTTAAAGTTTGAATTATGATAAAGATGTCAAAATCAAAAATTGGTTAGAAAATGTGGACAAAGCATAAAAAATAGAAATGATCAATAATTGATTATAAAGACATTGAGAAATTTCTCAATATCTCTATAATTCTGAAAACATAAATAAAACAATTTTGAAAAGTGCTGTATTTCCAAATTAGACTGTTCATTACTATGTGTTTGATGAAATATATCTACAAGATGTTGGTAAGAAAGTTGATATTTTATTGTTAGGAATATTTTTTGTTATATATAATATGGTTTAACACGCTAACCACTATCCATTGTCTTACTAATTAAGGCCATACAGAGCTATCCGACTGCCCGATGTCGCTATAACCAATGTAGTTTCACTCAAGTTTAAATTATCCTGGCTTTGTAAGACGACGTTTTACATCCTAGTGATGACCACTTGCACACATCTATAAAGTTGACTCCGACTGCTGGCCGTCGTATGGCCTCATGAAGTTGTTCGACGGCAGGTGGTCGTATGGCTCTGTACGGCCCTAATTAGTATGATCGCCAATGCATCAGATAGCGGTTAACGTATTAAAGATTATATTTTTAATTAACATAAATGTATATAATACATCAATTTTAAACTTGATTTTAATTTTTACTTTTTATAATACTTTGCATACTTAATTTAATATTAATAAATATTTTCTGGTTTTGTTTTTAACATGGACATTTGAATTTAGAGAAAAGATAAATAATGTATATTTATCTTTAAATTACAAAAAGATTGATTATTTAAGAAGCAAATTTTATCTAAAAAGATAAAATTTGCTTCTTGAAATATTAGTTCTAAAGAAAAATTTTAAAAATTAATATTATGTGGTGTAATTAAGATAAGCATTAACATTAGCTTGTATTATTCATGAATGTATTATTTTCTAAAAAATTTATGTGATTTTGATTTTATAGTCTTTTGAACATGAACATCTTGATATTCAAGATTACTATTCGTGGAATGAAAATAATGGTCAACCTTCAATCGAATTAGGATCATTTAATTTATTGTCTCAGAAATATGAGGTAATTATAAAATATTATTTCATTTTGAAAAACAATTTTCTTATATATTTATGAAATTTAATTATAGTGTTATTACTACTTTAACCATTTTAATAATCTTGCAATATTTTTAAAAATTACAAATAGTGTAATTTGAGATATTGTTTTCCATACATCATCTGTGTTGGCTGACTGATGCTATTACAAATCAGAAGTATACATAATGGGCATGCTGTAGAGTCCATGAAACTATTCTAAGTGTTCTATAAGGTGAATTAAAAATTCAAATGACAAAATAAAAGAAAATATTTGTTTTATCAATTATATTTCAGTAGTTTGTATCAGTCAGCCATCATACAGAAGGTATTAGAGAGAGCTCCGTGATTGACCTGTTGTCCTGTCCTGTAAGATCCTGTAATATTTAATAATAGTGTTTGCAACCTTTACAAGACTGTTCACGTGTGTCATGGATCCAAAAAGATTGAGAAATACTAGTTCAAAATATATTTTTCTATGCATTAACAAATGAATTCAACAATTAAATTTTTTAAAAATTTAAGGATTTTCTTTAAAGTTTAACTTTCTTGGTAATTGATATTACAATAATTCAGTTTACTTTTTAAGTACTAAGTTTTTATATATAACTTTTTAAATTATAAGGTTTTCTAAATATAACTTATAAAATTATCATTAATAGAACAATTATTTGAATTGCCTATGAATGTAAAACATAGAACAAATTTGAACCAAGATTGAAATGGCAGTTTTTATATTTTACATTCAATTTCTCAGTATTTTTACAGTAGAGTCACAGGAACTTGACTCTCAATGACTTGATGTTCTGTAAAACTCATCATGTCATCCAAAAAAAAAGAAATATATGTAATCTAATTTTTATCTCTATAACTTAATACTAGGATCAAATAGGCTATTGGTTCTTCACTGAAGAGACTTCATAATAGCATCAGTTCCATGTGCTAACAAAGAATATGTTCCATTTTCCAAGGTACCATTGCAAAATGCCACAAGCAAATGTAACGTGAAAGCAGCTGAATAGCCAATATTTTTTTAAATTAAAATTTAACCACAAATAGAAATGGTATATGTACTGTATATGAATTTGCCAATATAATATCTTTATGAAAATTTCACTAATTAGACTAGCATTATCACTATGCTGTAAAACTTGTCATTTTCATTAACTTGTCACCTGCTCAGTCCACATTAAGTTGAGTTTGTGGGACTATTGTATTAAGACGATCTGACAATGAGACAAAAACAGTCTCAAGAAACATTTTATCAAATATTTAAATAATAAATTGATTCCTTGGAATTATTAGAGTTCTTAGTATTATTGATGATCTGAAATTTAGTTGCTTGTCAACAAAGAAAATTGTTAACTAAAACAATAAATGCTAATTTTAAAACCTGTATAGAAAATACATGTGCATGTTTGTGTGATTATATAATACATATACATAGGCAGTCCTTGGTTTTGTGATATTCAGCATTCTCACATTCACACACAATACATTTAGTTCTATTGGAATGAAGCTTCTTTTATAACATACAATTTCATTGTTCAACTTTCAAACATTTGACATTCATATATAATGCAATGTGTGCAAAAGTTGGGAACTCCCTGAATTTCTAAACTTTTATATTCCCCAAATATGTTTTTAACCATAAAAATTATTATTATTATTTTTTTATTTAATCTTATATTTTTAGAGTGAATTTCTGAACAAATTATTGGTGACCATATATGTAAACAAGCTGTAATCAGGAAGAAGAAATGAAAAAAATTGATTGTTTTCTTAAAACTATGCAAGCTGTATCAAACTATAAAATTTCTTTTATCACATCATTTTTCAAAGGTTGTTATTATCTCCTAATAATTTATATCATTAGTTTGAATTCAAAATATAAATTTTTTTAAGTTTATGCTGTTGCAGGAATAGTTGTAACTTACCCAGTTTTGTCAATCTTTGAATTTGAACGTACACCATCCAGTTGAATTGATATATTTAATTTTGTGATGGAGCGTTCATCCACCCTGTATAATAATTATCAAACAAATTTCATCAAAACAATATTTAATATATAATTTTATAATAATTTTTGAGCTTTGATTCACTTACATTCAAGAAAATTAATTGTTTCTACTGTTATGACACAGCTTAAAATCTACTAAAGAACCTTGCAAAATGCAATACAATAGTGTGTCAATTATCTGAAAATCAATTATCCAAAAAAACTTGATAACCAAAATCTGTTTCAGAGCATACTAATTCCAGAAATTACAAAATTTTTATGTAATGACAATTGTTGACCACCATTTAAACATTACGTGGCACAAGTATACTTGAACAATGCTAGTTTGAATCATGTTGACAGATGAAACTATGCACTTGCTTTGGTTGTTTTCGTTTTAGTTTTGAATAAAAAAAAATCAATGAAAAAAAAATGTAATTTAAGGTGTAAAGGCTGGTTAATAAACAGGAAACACAACACACTAATCTATTTAAGAAATTTAAAATATATCCTTGTGATTGACATGAAACTTATTACTTGTATAAACATAATTACTTTTGAATGGATGAAGAAATCCTGAAATTTACAAACTTACCTTCTGGTATTACCAGAGAGGTAGGTTCATAAATTTCAGGATTTCTTCATATGTAAATTTGTTCTGTACCTGATTCAGAATGCTTATTTTCCTGAATTTTTTTTCTTCTATTTTCTGTAATTTGTTCTTAAGCTCATTTATCTTTTTCACTATCTTATTATGATCACTACTTGGGTGTATTTCCTTTAACTTTTCCACTAATCTGTTTTATGCAGCATCTCTTCTCCCCTTGAATAATCCTTTGATTTGATATGCCAAAGACACGGTTCACTTTGGTATATGAATAAATTCTTTGTATCTCATGATTCCCTTTTTGAGTTCTTTCATCAGGTATAAAACTATACACACATATATGGCAGCATTGAGTGTTCACTTATGACTGATTTGTGCAAGTCTCTGCAACATACTTTCAATCATACTTGTGTAAGTGCAGTTTGCACAAGTATGCATTATAGAAATTCAAACGTTTTTGTGTCACTTGTACAGTCTAAATACTTCTGCAATATTGTCATACACATGGACATGTATACTTGTACAATAAATCTGTACATGCAGTTGTGTGTGTTGCTGGTTTAAGCATTTGATGCATTAGAAACAGTATTGACATGGTTAGAAATGCAATCTGAAGCAGATTTTTCAATTCCTGACAATCAAGCAAGACTGAAATTTAGCAGTGTTACAAAGAAAAAAACTATGTAAAAGAAAGCAAAATAAGTGAATTCTTTGAAAAATTGCAATAAATAATTTTTATAAAATACTGCACTTTATTTATTACTAGCTTACCCGTCGCGCATTGCTGCGATCTCAGAAGAAAGGAAATTCAAGCAAACTCATTATGATAAAATTCAATTTACATTTTATCATTTTTATTGAAACTTATTATTATTCATTTTCATCGGGAAAACATTTCAAAGTGTCGTTTCAATTCTATTTATTTATTTGAGTGTTTGTGGATACATGATATTTTTTGTTTTTCCATCTGGTGCGTACACGAATAAATCAGAAGGTTTTCCGACGTGTGAGCTGACCACATACAGTTGTCCATGCGAGAAGCACGGATTCTCCAAATTTAGCCCACACACTTGCAGCGATTGTCAGAAGTGTGATATTCCCCATTTTTATATATATATTTTTTAATCCTTTATAATTTTCATTATTTAATTGCTCCTTCCTCTCTTCCTTGGCATGTTGTGAAATTTCTGATAGTTGGATAATAAACCATTTTATTGTAATTTGTCTTTTTAAATTATTTTGAGT